GTTGTTCACACCCAAGTCACGCTTTTGCCACCACTTTCTCCTCCCACAGGAGAGAAATGTTTCAAATACTTGGGAAGCAGCCACACCACTGAGATTATCTTTTTAACTGCAAGGAGGCAACGTGTGAAAGTGATATTGTGTGATTTGGCAACTAATGAACACTGAAAGGCTTCCTCTGTTCAGCACCATCTATTCCACTCCCCCTCCTCGAGATCAATGCTGTCTGCCTGGGATAATCTGGCAGAAGTGCCGACTAGGAAAGCAGCTCTGGCATTTGCCGGAGTGGTCAGATTTTTAGTAGACTACTGAAAAATAAAATGGACAGTACAACACCTCCCTTTAGCTCTCTACCTCTTCATCCTCTGACGACACTTAATGAGAAACTTTTGGGAGCAGACACCCTGGAATCATTCCAAAGCAGGGACCTGAACACCCAGAGGTTACAGAGCAGACGCACCATAATTAGCAGAGGAATTAGGGTGTGCCAGTAGAGGTTGTGAAATCAGCAACACTTAGCTTGCAGTTTCCTGCTTCCTCCTAGGAGTTTGGTAAACCTCTACTGCAGTCTTGTGACTTAACTTTCCATTCATAGCTCATACTTTGTAGGCAGTTTTCTAATAATCCCAATTATAACTATATGCAAGGAAGAGGTCATAAAAACTCACGCCCTCAGTGCCAGTGGGAGTGGAAGTAGGGGCTTGATAAAGAACTTGGATGAGTCAACTTAAAGGCACACTGGGAGTTTCATGACGAGTGAGCAGAAAAAGGTTCCATGATTGAGTAATTTTGAGAAATTGCTGGGTCAAATAGAGCTGAGCAAATGTCTTTATTGTAGGATTTCTCAGAGCCTTTAATAAAGTAGCAAGCCTTGTCGATCTTCCAGAAAAATGAAACAGGTAGCAATTCCCAAGCCAATTTGACCACAGAACACCGAGCACCTGTCAGTACTGGCATTACTCAGAACATACACTAGGTTTTTGTTTTTTTTTTTTTTTGGTGACTATTGTAAATGGTCTTGCTTTCTAGATTTCTTTTTCTGCTAGTTTGTTATTGGAGTATAAAAAAGCTACTGATTTTTTGTGTGTTGATTTTGTATCCTGAAACTTTACTGAAATTGTTAGCTCTAAGAGTTTTTTGGTAGAGACCTTAGGTTTTTCTATATATAGGATCATGTCAACTGCAAACAGGGACAATTTGACTTCATCTTTTCCAATCTGGATGCTCTTTATTTCTTTTCCTTGCCTTTTGCTCTGGCTAGTACTTCCAATACTATGTTAAATAGGAGTGGTGAGAGTGGGCATCCTTGTCTAGTTCATGTTCTTAAGGAAAAAGCAGAAAGTTTTCTCCATTCAGAATGATATTGGCAGTAGGTTTGCCATATACAGCTTTTATTGTGTTGAGATACTTTCCTTCTGTATCTTCTGTGCACTGAGAGTCTTTATCATGAATGGATGTTGAATTTTGTCAAATGCTTCTTCTGTATCTGTTGAGATAATCATATGGTTTTTGTCCTTGATTTTGTTGATGCAATATATCACATTTATTGACTTGTGTATGCTGAACCATTCTTGCATCCCTGGGATGAATCCCACTTGATCATGATGTATAATTTTTTTGAAGTGTTGCTATATTCTGATTCACACACACACACACACAACTAATATCAACTAATATATCTGCACTGTTCCATCCCCTCACCCTGGGAAAAAAATAACTTAGCTAATAACAATTTGTTACTTTTTTTTTTGGTGGCTGACCAGTACAGGGATCGAACCCTGGACCTTGATGTCATGAGCATCATGCTCTAACCAACTGAGCTAACTGGCCAACTTCCCAATTGGTTACTTTCACCATTACCAGTACTCTCATTTTGAGAATGGGACAAAGTGATGGTGTTACATCCTTTACTCGACTGGCCTAAAATAATGCCAAGGCAGTTTAACACCAATGTCTGAGCTTCAAAAACCTTTAAAACAGCACTGTCCTGGGAATGAGAGCCAGGTCTGAGCCCCTTCCTGCTGATTAGCTAGTGACTTTGGCACATCCCATCCTCACTTGGGTCTTGGTTTCCTCATCTCTAAACTGAAGAGGTTAGAATAGATTTTTGAGAAGGTTGCCAGCGATAACAGTCAACCATGGGCTCTGAATGCTAAGTATATTTTTGTAATCTACCATTATATGGGGTGACGGAAAAAAACAACTGCTCTGGAGGCTGACTAGGTGTGACAGTTTCTGAGTCTATCGCCTCTCCACTTGCTCTCTCCTGAGCTCTGTGCCAACACCCTGAGTAAATGAAGCTGGGCTCACACCCAGTCACCCAAGGGCTGCAACCTCCCAATGTCCCAGGCTGGCATTTAAGGAAGCAGACACTACCATCTTGAGGGAAGGGAGGGCAGCTCTGACAAGGAAAAGGAATTTGGGGAGCTCACATCCAAAGCTGCTTCTCCCCACACAACTGTGTGCCAAGAGGAAAAACACAGTCCAGGACGAGGAGGAGCAGCATCGCAGCCAGCCACATCTCTTCTTCTCACACAGGATTCCCCACCAGATGCTGCTGGTTTACAGGACCACAGCTGCTTCCTGTCCTATCATATCCTAGGTCGGCCTGATGGACAGACTGTCTTGCTTGAACTTGGAAGTTACTTCTACCACAATTGGCACAATTATTTCTGGGGCTGGAGATGTGGCTTAAGACTTTCAAGTAGCTATTAATACAAGGCAGAACTATCTAACCCACTGCTAGCACCAGAGAAAAGCTCTCTGTGTCTTTGGACAGCTGGTTGCCTCTAACTGTCAGATAGCAGCAGACATTTTATTTCTAATTCTGACAGGACAAAAAAAAAAAAAAAAAAAAAAAAAAGTTACTTCTACCACAATTGGCACAATTATTTCTGGGGCTGGAGATGTGGCTTAAGACTTTCAAGTAGCTATTAATACAAGGCAGAACTATCTAACCCACTGCTAGCACCAGAGAAAAGCTCTCTGTGTCTTTGGACAGCTGGTTGCCTCTAACTGTCAGATAGCAGCAGACATTTTATTTCTAATTCTGACAGGACAAAAAAAAAAAAAAAGAAAGAAAAATCATCTTACACCACACACACCAAAAGGCTACTAGAGCCTTATTAAAACCCAAATCCCAGAATTAAACAATAGTTTTGTAATTAAAGCAAAACAGTTACCAGAAGACACTAGCAGAAGAAAAAAAAATGCAAATGCTCTTTCTTTACTCAACTAACAGAGATGACTGCTTGCCTTACATAAGAGACAAAGTCCTTGCAAAGGCTCTGTCAAGAAGCATTAAGGTACAAGAGAAACGTTCAGAATTACCTAATGTTACAAGGAACAAGCTACCGAAATTTGCCTTGAGGGCTCCGGTTGACTAAATCACCTTGAGACCAAGAAGCAAGCATACAATGTTCACTCTCCTGACAGTGTATAACTATTTCGTTCAAGTCTCCTTTGCCTTTGCTCTGACCCTTCAAGGGATTCAAGGTGGGAAAGCTATACTGTGAGTCATAGAAAGGACCCCAAGGACTTCCTGGACACCTGCAGGAAACTTTGAAGCAGCCAACGACCAAAACAAAGTACAAGCAACATGAGTTAATGTGCCTGGTGACATCCTGACAGTGCAGAAACATCAGTGCTCATAAATCACCAGTCAGCACAAGTAAGTTTCCCTAGAACTGGTTTTGAGTAGACATGAAACAAGAGGCATGGGAGCTTTCGAGCTAAGAGGAGTTCCAGCCCTTCACCATAGACAGAGGTCATCCCTGGGCTCTCAACTTAAAGGCAGAAAGGTTTTGACGCTTTAAGAAGGAAGAGTGTGTGGGCCGGCCCGTGGCTCACTCGTAGAGTGCGGTGCTAATAAGACCAAGGCCCCGGGTTCGGATCCCACATAGGGATGGCCGGTTCGCTCACTGGCTGAGCGTGGTGCTGACAACACCAAGTCAAGGGTTAAGATCCCCTTACCAGTCATCTTTAAAAAAAAAAAAAAAAAAAAGAAGGAAGAGTGTGGGGCCGGCCTGTGGCTCACTTGGGAGAGTGTGGTGCTGATAACGCCAAGGCCACGGGTTCGGATCCCTATATAGGGATGGCCGGTTTGCTCACTGGGTGAGCATGGTGCTGACAACACCAAGTCAAGGGTTAAGATCCCCTTACTGGTCATCTTTTTTTTTAAAAAAAAAAAAAAGAAGGAAGAGTGTTTCTTTCTTGACTGTTCAAAAGGTCAGGCCAGCTCATAGGTCAGTGCGTCTCAACTACCCTGCCACCACACACAGGTCCATCAGACCATCATCCTTGTGCTTCAAGACTCTTTCAGAGTCCCCTCATCTCTCCTCTTTTCCTAACCGGAGCTCTCCTATCTGGCCAAACCCCACTCACTCCACAACAGATCCACAGCCAAGGTGTGGAATTCTTATCAAGGCCATTTTTCAGCTTGGGCTATCTTCCCACCCTCTCCCAGCCTTCTTTTCCTGACAATTCTCAGGGATTCTCCTATATTTTTATAAGCTAGTTTGACAGCTAGTGGTGGTGGTATGGAGAAGAGTCTTGGGCTTTTCCCACATTTCTCCATCTCACCAGAGGTTCCACTTCCTCATTATGTTGCTGTCACCCTCTTAAAAGGTGACTCAAAGACAGGTATCTTCCCAAGACTGCGTAAATGTGACAGCTACATTTTGCTTTTCTCCCTGACACTAGGATATCTCCTCCAGGGTCCACCCAAGCCTGCTCCAGTCCCCTTCCCCAGGAGTGTCCAGCAGAGCGGCTACGTCCCAATGCTAGAAGATCCCACCCCTTCCCAGGCTGCCGCGCCTCGCCGCTTCCCCCGTTCCACCTGTTGCTAGTCCCGCCCCCCAGACGCCACGATAGGCCAGCCCTCAAAGCCCGCTCTCCCATTGGGCAGATGATCCGTCCCTCCTACGCCACGTCCCCGACTCTAGCGAAAAAGGCCCGGGCCGCGGCCCCTAGCCCTATAGGGATCTGTGAGATGGGAGGTCTACCTGGAAAGGATTTACGTCCACTGGGTCCGCGAAGGGGTTGGTGTCAAAGGCCGACATGGTGGCCGGGGGCCTGCGGGCGAGCTACGCGAGCGCTGCTGCCTCCGGGCACCCAGACCCAGCGGCTCTCTGTGTAAGCCCTCCACTTCCGGGAGCGAGGCAACCTTTCTGGCGCAAGCGCAGCGCCCTCCCAGAGGGGCGTGGTCTTGTGACGTCACAGAGGCCCGCTCCGCCCCCTGCCGCCCCCTTTCCCACTGGAAAGCTACAGAGAAGGCTTCTGCCTGCTTCCATCCACGTCTTCCCTCTGCCGCAGATTCTGGGGTCGGAGCTGTGCAGAGGGACTAGGGAGCCAGAGGCGGAGTCGGAGCCCTTCCAGTGTGACACCTTCCAGTTTTGTGTTGCTAACACAAAGCACCAAAAGTGGGACAAGAAACTTAACCCCTTCACTTTCTCGAGGGACCACTTTGGGAAGTCCGCACCAATCTTAGAGCAGGCGACAGGATTAACAGATGGGCGAGAAGCCTTGGGCAAACTAGGAAAGGGTTCTGGTTAAAGGCGCCAGGTAGAGGGTTTCTCCTCCGAAGAACAGTGCTCCGAAAGAGGGAAACACGAGGACCACACAACGGCCGCCCACGCTAGCTGAGCCCTCTTCTTTTTTTTTTTTTCCTTTTTGTCTTTTTTCGTGTCTGGCAACGGATCGCAACCCTCAGTGTCGCGCCCGTACCGGACCGGGACCGGCAACGGGATCGCAACCCGCAGTGTTGCGCCCGTACAGGACCGGGACCGGCAACGGGATCGCAACCCTCGGTGCTGCGCCCACCCCTCGCTCAGCCAGTGAGCGGGAACCGGTCTGTATGTGGGATCCGAACCCGCGGCGGGAGCGCCACCGCGCTCTCAAGCTGCGCACTGTAGCAGCGCGCCACCGGGCCGGCCCCAGAGCCCTCTTCTTTTAACTTTTTTTTTTTTTTGGCAGCTGGCTGGTAGGGGGATTCGAACCTTTGACCTTGGTGTTATCAACACCGCACTCTAACCAACTGAGTTAACCGGCCAACCCATGAGCCCTCTTCTTTTAACTTTTTTTTTTTTTTTGGCAGCTGGCTGGTAGGGGGATTCGAACCTTTGACCTTGGTGTTATCAACACCGCACGCTAACCAACTGAGTTAACCGGCCAACCCATGAGCCCTCTTCTTTTATGTCTTGCCCCTAACGTCAAGTTTCATCGATGTAGGGATGAAGATCCCTGGTCCCAGGCAGGTTTAGGGCCAGTGTTGGGATTTGAACCTGGGCATCAAGCATTTACTAAGTGAATGAGAAAGTTCAACAATAGTTGAAAGTTCTCCCACCTCTCTCAGTCATGGGAGAGGTAGCAGAATCACTTCCCACAGGTTCACTTTTTAATTATTCATAGCTGGGGCCAGCCTGTGGCTCACACGGGAGAGTGTGGTGCTGATAACACCAAGGACGCGGGTTCGGATCCCACATAGGGATGGCCGGGATGGCCGGTTTGCTCACTGGCTGAGCGTGGTGCTGACAACACCAAGTCAAGGGTTAAGATCCCCTTACCGGTCATCTTTTTAAAAAAAAAATAATTATTATTATTCATAGCTCTCTGGCTTTCTTCATCTCTGCTGCCATGGTCATTTTTTTACCCTTGATTAGTAAGTATGGGGCTGCTAATTGGTCTGTTCTTCATGCCGTAACCAAAGATCTGTTTAAAGGGGACAAAATTATCATGGAAATTTCTGTTTAAAATCTTCCAATTAATTTTCATAAAGATTCAAACTCTGGGCCAGCCCGTGGCTCACTTGGGAGAGAGTGGTGCTGACAACACCAAGCCAAGGGTTAAGATCCCCTTACCCGTCATCTTAAAAAAAAAAAAAAAGATTCAAATTCTTAGTTTGGCCTAAGGTCCTGTAAGATCTGCCCCCACCTCACTCCTTCCCATCCCTTCTCTTGCCCACTCCCCTGCATTCCAGCTATCCTGGTGACTTCATTTCCCCAAGCTTCCCTTGTTTCCTTCTGCCTCAGGGCCTTTGCACATACTCCTCCCTCTACCTGGTATACTCTGAAGTGCCCACGCCCCCCATCATCTTGTAGTTAACTTCAATTATCCTTAAATCCAAGTTCAGATCCCCTTTCCTTAGGGATAGCTTCCCTTCATTCTCTAGGTTAAATCAGCCCACCCCCTGTCATAAGTTCTTGTGTTACCCTGTAGTTTTCCTTCATAATACCTATTGCAAATTGCAATTACATGCTTGTATAGGTGGTTATTTGTTTATGTCTGTTTCCTTCATTAGACTGTAAACTGCATGAAGGCAGGAGTCAGGTCTGTTTTGCTCACTGTTGTATTTCTGGCACTAACATAGTACCAAGCACATGATAAGCCATTTAGTAAATATTTACTGTTTCCCTCCTCCACTTCTCTTACCTTTCCCCTGTCTAAATCCCAACTAGTCTTTAGGGTTCAGTTTAAGTTTTCTTCAGGAAACAACCTCAAGTGGGAGGGTGAGAAGTGATCCATGTTTGTGTCCCCTTAGAAACTCCCTACTTCTTTTTTTTTTTTTTTTTCCTTTTTGTCTCTTTTTTTGTGTCCGGCAACGGATCGCAACCATCAGTGTCGCGCCCGCACCGGACCAGGACCGGCAACGGGATCGCAACCCTCGGTGTTGCTCCCGCCCCTCGCTCAGCCAGTGAGCAGGAACCGGTCTGTATGTGGGATCCGAACCCTCGGCGGGAGCACCACCACACTCCCAAACGGCGCACTGTAGCAGTGCGCCACCGGGCCGGCCCCGAAACTCCCTACTTCTAAGCTCCTGTGGTCACCCCTCCAAGGGCAGAGATCTGCTGTCTGCAGCCTGAGAGGAGGAGAGTCCACACAACACAAGGCTGTCTACCTCCTCATAGTTTGCTGTAGCCTAGTACAGTGCTGGGCTGCTGAAGAAGGAATAGAACTGGATTATAAGCAAGGAAGAGGAAGTCACAGACACCATTTATTTACTCATTTATTTATTCAGCAAGGGAGGAGGTATAGTGTAATGGAGCTGTATGCTCTTGAAACAGTTACTTCATCTCTCCCAGGCCTATTTTTCTCATCTCTGAAATGGGGCTAGTGACAGTACCTATCTCATGGGGTTGTTGTGGAGTACACCAACATTTATAAAGCAAATGCATTTCACAGGGCCTACTTTCCAAAGCCCTGTAGTCTCAGGTTTATCCTAACCTTTAAAAATTACATATAGAAATATTAACCTTGCAAAAGACAGGAAACTTTCCTCAGGCTAAAGTCTTTGTAACACAGCAAAGTTGCTGGCTCAAGGACAGACAAGTCACTTGATTGATATGTAAAAATACCCGGGAAATTGCTGTAGGGAAAAACAGTGTTTGCTAATATCAAGTTTTTGTTGGTGGATCAACTCAACCTTTTACAAATTGAATTATGGAATGTCACTTTGCTTGTTACCAGCCTCTATTGCTAAACTATACTTAACCATAACTTCACCTGTGTTCTTTTCCTGTAACTTCCTGGTCTGGAGAATAAATGCGGGGTGAGAACTCCAGTTTTAATTTCCAAAAGAAGGAATGCCTCTCTCTTGAGGGTTCTGGGAAATTAACCCCTTTGGGGTCTCTCACTGCTCGGAAGAAATGGGCTTTGAGTAATCCTTTTTGTGGCTCCATCACCCAGGGGAAGAGAGATGATAAATCCATGTGAGGCAAAGCAACAGTTGTCTTGAGAACTGAAGAAAAAACAAACTTTTTTTCCCTCTACTCTCACAGTCTCTCAACAGAACACTTCTGACACCAAATGTGTGGGGGTTGTTTCCCCATACCAAACAATTGTCCAGTGAATACAAACTGTGTGTCCTATAATTCAATTCAATTCTGATACTATCTACCTGGAGATAGCATTGGATCCCACGGGTTCGTCCCACAAGACTGCCTCCCACTTCGGGTGTCAATCACAAGCCCCAGGTTGTGACCTATTGCTTCTGACTGACTGGCTATCAGGTTTCCCAGGGTTCCCATAATCCCCTTATTGGGTTTGATTAATTTGTTAGAGTGGCTCATAGAACTCAGGAAAACACTTTACTTACATTTACTGGTTTAACATAAAGGATGTTACCAGACTCAGGTCTGGCTGCCCACCCCCTTAAAAAGGAAAGAAAAAAACTCAGAAGTCAAATGGTTGGTGTTACAAAACCAGGGTATTCAGCTGAAGGAGATGGTAGGCTATCCCATCTCAAAGATTTACATTTACTGAGGAGTTTTTAAAGGAAGGGTTTAGGGAATGGAATGTGGGAGGTGAAAAGCAGGAGAGCAGGAGATGTGAGTTACCAGGGGTCCATTTCTATGGGTCAGGTACAACGTCTTGCCAAGGCCTCATCTGGTTTCTATTCTCATCTTCACTGTTATCTCAGGACCCTGCAAGATTCTGATTTGCGCTGGTCTACTTGGCTGGTGCCCAAGGTCAGCTTCAGTCATTTGGCCTTGATCATTTCTCAAAACTCTACAAGTTTCAAAGAAATAAATGTTAGCCTTGCAAAGAAGTAATTAGCTTCTCAGCCTTGTTTTCCTACTTAGCGAGTGAGATAAGAAATTCAGGGGATGGGAAGAAAAGAGTGCAGAGAAAAAAACTGTCTATTGGGAAAACAGAATAGTTTTGTCAGGGCCCTCACCTCGGGTCCAGTTGGGTGTGGTTTAACATCCTTTGTAAGCAAATTGTGTGTGTGTGTGTGTGTGTGTGTGTGTGTGTGTGTGTAGTTAGTGCATGTGTGCCAATGTATCTTTTTAGTTTCATTGCTATTCTTGCATTCTACAGAGAGAGAGAGAGAGAGAAAGACAGAAACAGAGAGAGAGAGAGAAAGACAGAAACAGAGAGAGAGAGAGAGAGAGAGAGAGAGAGAGGAGTTTGGTGAAGCAGGCGGGCAGGCGTTGGCCTCAGGCGTCTACCTGGTGCAGCCATGCTTTCCAACCTATGGCTCCAAGGACCTTTAGTCCGGTTACCTAGCTCATAGACCTGCATGAAGGGGTCTGGTAACCCAGCCTAGCCCATGAAGGGTTTGTGACCCAGTCTGTGAATGGGCTTGAGGGGTCTGGGAGCTCCAGACCCAGCCCTAGCTCAACAATCAGCCCAGTCGGTGCAGGATTA